TTATATTAATATATTAATATTATTAACAATAACTATAATATAATAATCATAATTAATATAATAATAAAAGTGATAAATCATGTTTGAATTTTTTGATCTGATCTGATCTGAATGTTTCTGATCTGATCTGAATGTTTCTGATCTGGTCTGATCTGGTCTGAATCTTTCTGATCTGATCTGAATGTTGCTGATCTGATCTGAATCTTTCTGATCTGATCTGAATGTTTCTGATCTGATCTGATCTGATCTGAATCTTTCTGATCTGATCTGATCTGATCTGAATCTTTCTGATCTGATCTGATCTGATCTGAATAAAATAAGATTAAGGAATAAGTAATAAGATTAAGACGAACGGAACAGCTTCTAACTCTAAGACTTGGAATCTGTGTTCAGCAGATCTTGTTTTCAGAGTTATCAGAAAGGCATTTGCCTTAGTATTTCTGAGGCTACCCGGACAGATCAGAATCCGCTGCCAAGGCCAGTTCTGATATCAGAACCAGCCTTTCTCTGTCATCAGAATCAGACCTTCTCTGATAAGTCACTTCGGACTCAGAGAAAATTTGAAAAACCAACCAGTCTATTCACCCCCCCCCCCCCTCTAGACTGGTTACCATATTAAACGGGACCAACATCTTCTTCGGCTAGTTTAAGGTTAAGAAGTTTTTTCTTGATCAAGGAGAGTTCTTCTTTTATAGTTTCATCCAACGGAGAGAGTATAGAGAGCTCGAGGAGCCTTTTATACTCTTTCTTGGAGTCCTTAACTCTTTCGGAAATGTGGCCAAAGTGGAGTTTATTTAGCTCTCTAAGTGGTCTTTTGAGGTCCTTCAATTTCTTGGCTAAGATGAATTGGGAGCTACCGTATACCTCTCTATCCCAATGGGTAGTGAGGATGGCATTGAAATTTTCATGATTTAGCCACATATTAAAAAATTTAAAAGGCCGAGAGGCAGCCCCACAAGTTTTCCCAATGGAAACCATGGAAGCTACATGGTCGGATTCAAGTTCGAAATCATGAAAATGTGTTTTGCACTCAATATCCAAAGTAGACCAAAAAGAATTAATAAGAACTCGATCTAGTTTAGCCCAAAGGGAACCTCTATTCCAAGTGTAACACCGTCCCCAAATGTATTTACTTTTAAAGTGAATATTGTATTTTAACCTTATGGAATGGTTAATGAGTATACGAAGTTGTGAATTGTTAATACTTCTTTTGCGTGAATAGTAAATTCGCACGCGAGACCCACACTGGGAGCGGGACCGCCCGATGTTTTCGGGACCGTACATTTTATTCAACTTGGTCGAAATAATATTCATATAGAGGGGAATAATTTATTTGGTCCAAAGCAATGACATAATGTGGACCGATTGGGCAAAAGCGGCTCAAATACCGGTATTGGTAATTTAACCGATAAAAGCCCGAAATTTGGATTTCGGAGACCTATAAATTAAAGCTGGGAAATGGATATTCATTTTAAGGGTCATAATGATTGGGAACATGTAATATATCTTATTTGACCCGATAAAATAAAATATATTTAAAACTGTCCGAAAAATACAACTTTCGGGACAAAGTGTACACTTCGGGACAAAAAGGGTTGACCTCCCACATGGGTGGGGGCCAACCCACGAATTTAGCCACATTTTTCAAGGCATGGGTCGGCTGATATGAGAGGGAGGTGGGAGAGAGAGCTGATTTGAGATGTTTGGCATCAAAACAAATCATGGTGGCCCTCATTTCCTTCACTCATTGCTCAATTGAGACAAATGAGCATTCCTACTCCTCCCCATCCTCACTCATTCGGCCAACACTAAGGAAGAGGAGGAAAGAAGCTCTGCAACTTCATCTTTCATAGCCAAACTCAAGCCAAGCTCAAACAAGAAAGTTGATAGGAAGTTAAAGAAGGAAAAAACTAGCTAAAGGTGTGAAAGTTAAGGTAATGACCCTATCATAACTTCTCCTTTATTTTTCCCTTCTATCATATGAGATACATATCATATGGAACACCCTTGAGGTTGTTCTACATGCTAAGGGTGTAGAATAATGGGTTGGAGAGTGGTTCTATGTCCAAAAACGGACATAGAGGCCAAACCGACAAGTTCACCGGAAAATACCCTTTTAAGGGTTATGTGTATTGATTAAGGTTTTATGATGTTAAAACCTTGTTAGGAACTTGATTTAGAGTATCTTTGAGCTTCGCCGGAGTTTCGCCGGAGTTGGTCAAAGTTGGCCGGAGTTGGTCAAAGTTCACCGGAAATAGTCAAAGTTCAACCGCGGAGCGTAGAACACGCTTAAGCTCACTTAAGGTGAGGATGACCGACTATATTGCTTATAATTATTGGGTTAATTTCATAAGATTACCTAAATGAATTACATGTGTTTGGCATGATTTATTTATAATATAAAAAAATGCCTAAATGAGATTATTATTGTTTATAAGTAAAAGTGCATAATATACAAATTTATGAATAAATTGTGTATGATTATGTATTATGAATACAATGGTATAATAGTGTGTAACTATAAAGGAATTGTGATAAATATACTTTTACCTCATGTAAGGAAGTCATGGAAGGATAAAAGTGATATTTTGATATTAGAACCAAGTTATACTTGAATGTGGAATTAAATTGAAATAGCCAATTTACTATGAAATTGCATTGGCTTATTAAGGTTAAATGACTAGTATAGAAATACTAGCCGGGAATGTTAGCATGAAAAGTGATAGAACAAATCCTAGGGGTTTGGATTGTGAAAGATGTACCTTAAGTAGTCATACGAAATGTCTTAAGGTAGAAATGAGTAAACGCTAAATTACCGTAGGAGTGGACCTTAAAGGTTACTCATAGTAGAGGAACTCTAGGCATAGAGTTTGCTTAGTGAATTAGTATCGTGACTAGAGGAAGCCTCGAGCATGATGAAGAATGACTGGAGGAAGCCTCCAGCATTCGTGTAGGATGACTAGAGGAAGCCTCTAGCGTAACGTAATGTGACTGGAGGAAGCCTCCAGCACAACGTATGTAAGGTGATTAGAGGAAGCCTCTAACACCAAGTGGAGTGACTAGAGTCAGCCTCTAGCACGACAAAACATGACTAGAGGAAGCCTCTAGCATGGTAAACTAATATAGATGGGTGTGGCTTGAAGTCACGGGGAAAGGGTTAAATGTTTCCAAAGTAAACATGGGCCTTCGGGCGATTACTTGACTATATATATAAAGTAAGTATACTTTCAAAAGAGGGTAACCACGGGTTATGACCTATAATATAATAACATCCTAGATTGAGGGTCTTGGAAATTGAAACTTTGATTATACTTAGTATAGTTGTCATTGTACTTGTCAAATGCTTCCAAGTACTGACCTCCCCTTCACGGGGGAGGCCACCTCACAGTTTCAGGTAGAACTTGAAGGGTGCTACCATCACCGTTGCTTCGGGCGGATTATCAAGGAGAGGAGACGTGGTTCGTGCTTCCTCCGTTTCTGTTTTAAAACATTCAAATTAATGCTCATGGATACTATTTTCCGAATAATTATTTAGGGCTTGCACGCCCGTGTTTGCCACGTGTGGCTCGAATGCTTGTATTAATATTTCCGCTTCTTAATTAAATGATTTACATTGTGATTGTTTATGGATGTACTAATGTGAATGGTATTCAAGACGCCTTGTATAGTATGGATGAGTTGGACTGCGGTTGACTATTCGTACTGTACGGCGGGTTGTTGACGTGTCCGGGAAGGTCCGGGGCGTGACAATTTAATTGGTATCAGAGCCTTAGTCCGTAAACTTCATAATGAAGCTTCAAAATCCCTTTTGAAAATGATTTTGAAAACCATGAGCATAAAAGTTTTGCACTTATAGAACTTTTGGTACTTGAGTTGCAAAGTCTCTAATTGTTAAGATGGTACCCTTAACAATTGGTATGACGGTGATTTGAGCCAAAAGATGTCTTTAAGTGCCTATCCGTCACTTGACATTTGATACGGGTCTAATGACTCCTTCTCTATCTCTTTCAGAAATGGAACGCACCGGTAAAGTCACCCGACGAAACCCGACTGGCCAGGCGCCGGGAAGGTCCCAACATGGCAGTCGAGGGGCATCAAGGGTGTCTCGAGGGCAGGGCCGTGCAGGCCACTCGCTGACCGTTAGTGACGGTCATGTTGAAACAATTGACGAGCATTATGAGTCCGAGGAGGATTCAACGTACCGACCGGGAACGGAGCCGGTTGAAACCCCATATGAGGGGGAAGATGATGACATTAGTGAGGGGAGCGACGATAATGACGCCCTCGAGCGGATTGAGGAATTGCTCCGGCAATATCATCAAGATCGCCAAAGGCGCCGGGCAAGGCGTGCTTCGAGGGGGGCTTCGAGGAGAGGGAGCCGTGTGAGTCCTAGGGGAAGCATAGAACCCCAAGGAGGGCGAGGTGCCGAGGTTCCTATCATAAGAATCTCGAAGTACCTAAAGGAGGCGAGGGACTTGGGGTGTAAACCGTTTGATGGAACGGGAGACATCTCCGTGGCGGCCGAGTGGATCAAGAGATTCAATGAAGCGGCCCTGGATATGCAGCTGCCACCAAACATGAAGTTGAGAGTGGCCACAAGACTACTAGAAGGCATGGCGTCCACATGGTGGGACGGAGCTAAAGGGAAGTACGGCGAGGCCGTCACCTGGGAGAATTTCCGACAAGAATTCTTTAGCCAATACTACTCCGACTTTGAAGTGAATTTAAAGAGGAGGGAGTACACAACCTTAACCCAAGGAGGTGAGTGCACAGTGAAGGAGCTTGAGCACAAGTTCAGAAAACTTGCTGAGTTCATACCGGAATACATTTGTGATGAGAACCGGATGGTGAACCACTTCTGGAACGCCTTGGACCTTGATATACGTGAGAGGGCAACACAATTGCCTAATATGACGTTTAGCCAAGTGGTCGAACAAGGCTTGAAGGGGGAGAAGGAATGGGAGGAAAGGAAGCGAAGAAATGCCGAGGAGGCAAAGAAAAGAAAATGGGAGAACCATGGCCCCCAGGGTTCAAACAAGAAGGGGAATCACGGGGGAGGAGGATCCTTCAGGGCACCCGCACCACCATCAAGGGGGAATCCCAACATGAGTGGGCAGAACTCGGGATCACAAGCCCCGACGAAGCCTAAGTGCAGGAATTGCAAGAGAAACCACGAGGGCAAATGTCGTGATCCCCCACGGTGCTACCAATGCGGAGATATGGGGCACATAAAGCCCAATTGCCCTCAACTTGGTGGGAACCGGTCATCAGGGCCAAGCAGTGCAACCATGGTGAGTAGAAACCGGGGTGGGGCACCCAATGCAAGCACGAACCATGGCGGGGCAAGTACAAGCAACGCACCCTCCGTGAACCAAGGAAGGGCTCAAGCGAGAGTGTACGCAATGACCGAGGCCGATGCTCGGGCTAATCCCGACTCCGTCGCAGGTAATACACTTATTATGGTCATTTCTAGGCTTACTTTGATCATATACGTCGTTGGGATTGAGTACGGGCCACCCCGGGGTCAAACCGGGTGAGTTAGGCCGAATCGGGCTAGAAACAGCCACTGCTGGCCAGGCACGCCCGCAGGCACGCCGTGCCTGGCGTCGTGCCTGGAAGGCAGTGGCACCCGAAGAAAAGAAAAAAATTTTTTTTTTTGGGCCAGGCACGGCCGCAGGCACGCCGTGCCTGGAGTCGTGCCTGGAAGGCAGTGGCACCCGAAGAAAAGAAAAAAAAAAAAAAATTTTGGGCCAGGCACGGCCGCAGGCACGCCGTGCCTGGAGTCGTGCCTGGAAGGCAGTGGCGTCCGAAGCATTTTTGGCCAGGCACGGCCGTAGGCACGCCGTGCCTGGCATCGTGCCTGGCCGGCAGTGGCACGCAGTGTAAGTTCGTTGCACGCACGGCCGTGCGTGCCACCCAGGCACGCCGTGCGTGGACCCCCAACCCCCGAAAATTTATTTTTTCGCCCCATTCTTCTACGTTTGGACCCCCGTTTGTTTCCAAACATTAGTATTAACTTAATAACCTCCTAAAGATGTGTAAAAAACATTAGAAAATGTATCTTACGTGGTGTATAAATGTAGGAACATTAAAGATCAATGGTAAGTGTGCGAGGATCCTCATCGATACCGGGGCACAACGCTCATTTGTGAGTGAGGCGTTCGCCGAGGGCCTTGACGTGCCATTGACACCATTGACGCAAACGTTGCTAGTCTCCACACCGTTAGGAGACGATGTGGAGAGAAACCATTACTATCCATCATGTGAGGTGGAAGTGACGGGTCAACCCTTGACTTGTGATCTCGTACCTCTAAGCATGTTGGAGTTCGATGCAATCCTAGGAATGGATTGGCTTGAGAAGCACCATGCTCGAGTGGATTGCTACACCAAGGTGTTGGAACTCGAGGATGATCAAGGAAACACGCTTTGTTTCGAAGGAGATCGGGGGAAATCGAATGCTTGCATCATATCCGTGATGAGAGCACGGAAGATGATGAGGAAGGGGTGCCACGCATACCTTGCTTACGTGGTAGATGATACGAAGAAAGAAGTCGACATCAAGGATGTTCGAGTCGTGTGCAAGTATCCGGACGTCTTTCCTAAAGACTTACCGGGACTTCCACCCGATAGGGAGATTGAGTTCGTGATAGAGGTCGAGCCCGGCACCAAACCAATCTCCATACCGCCATACCGTATGGCACCCGCTGAACTTAACGAGTTAAAAACCCAATTGCAAGAGCTTTTGGATAACGGTTTCATCAGACCAAGCCACTCCCCATGGGGAGCACCGGTCCTTTTTGTGAAAAAGAAGGATGGGACACTTCGAATGTGCATTGACTATCGTCAACTGAACAAGGTCACAATCAAGAATAGGTATCCCTTGCCTAGGATTGATGACTTGTTTGATCAACTACGAGGAGCAACCGTGTTTTCAAAGATTGACTTGAGGTCGGGGTACCATCAATTGAAGATTAAGGAGGATGACATACCAAAGAGTGCTTTCCGCACGAGGTATGGGCATTTTGAGTTCCTTGTTATGTCGTTTGGGTTAACAAACGCCCCGGCGGCATTCATGGACTTGATGAACCGAGTATTTCACAAATACTTGGACCGATTCGTGATTGTGTTCATTGATGACATCTTGATCTACTCAAAGAGTGAGGAAGAGCATGATGAGCACTTGATACTCGTTCTTGAGACACTACGGGAGAAGCAACTCTATGCCAAATTTTCTAAATGCGAATTTTGGCTAAAGGAGATTGGCTTTCTCGGGCACGTGGTTTCGGGATCGGGAATTGCTGTCGACAACAAGAAGATAGAAGCCATCACCGAATGGGAGAGGCCAAAGAACGTCAAGGAAATTCGTAGTTTCCTTGGATTGGCAGGATACTATAGAAAGTTCGTGGAAAAGTTCTCTGTTTTGGCATCACCGTTGACAAAGCTCACTCAAAAAGGAGCTAAGTTTGTATGGGATGACAAGTGTGAGAAAGGATTCACTGAACTGAAGAAGAGATTAACCGAGGCACCGGTACTTGCATTACCCAAACAGGGTATGGGGTACGATGTCTATAGTGACGCGAGCATCCAAGGGCTTGGATGTGTGTTAATGCAGGAGGGGAGGGTAATTGCCTATGCTTCACGACAGTTGAAGAAGCATGAGGTAAATTACCCCACCCACGATCTAGAGTTGGGAGCAGTGGTATTCGCACTGAAGATTTGGAGACATTATCTCTACGGAGAGACATGTCACATATACACTGACCATAAGAGCTTGAAGTACGTGTTTACTCAGAAAGAGTTAAACATGAGGCAGAGACGGTGGATGGAGTTGATAAAGGACTACCACCTAGTGATTGAGTACCATCCAGGCAAGGCAAATGTAGTGGCAGATGCCTTGAGCCGGAAGAGCTCAACTGGGGCATTGATAGCGAATTTGAGGGCATTAAGAGCCCAACTGGAGGTGTCCAGTAATGGTGCCTTATTGGCACGGTTTGAGGTGAGACCTACTTTGCTTGATGAGATCAGGAAGGGTCAGGAAACTGACGATGAATTTGTGAAGATCAGGGAACGCTTGCAAGCGGGACCGGTGGAGGACTTCAGAGAAAGAGACGACGGTCTTTTATTATTCCGTGACCGAGTGTGTGTGCCGGCAGATGATGAGCTCCGAAAGTCCATCTTAGAGGAAGCTCATTCATCGGCTTATGCCATGCACCCGGGGGGCACGAAAATGTATCGCGATTTGAAAGAAAGTTACTGGTGGTCCGGTATGAAGAGAGAGATAGCCGAGTACATCAGTCGGTGCCTTACTTGTCAGCAAGTCAAGGCAGAGCATCAGCATCCAGCTGGGTTATTACAGCCACTTTCCATCCCAGAATGGAAGTGGGAGCATGTGACTATGGATTTCGTGGTGGGGTTGCCACGGACCGTGAACAACTATGATGCGGTATGGGTAGTAGTTGATAGGCTCACCAAGAGTACACACTTTTTGCCTATTAACATCACTTACCCTCTTGAAAGGTTGGCGAAGCTATACACGGAGGAGATTGTGAGACTACATGGAGTCCCGATATCCATTGTCTCGGATAGGGATCCACGATTCACATCTCGATTTTGGCCCAAGTTTCAAGCATCTTTGGGTACTAAATTGAAGTTTAGCACGGCTTTTCATCCACAGACGGATGGACAATCCGAGCGAGTGATACAGATATTGGAGGACATGCTTAGGGCGTGTGCTCTGGAGTTCCAAGGAAGTTGGGACAAACATTTGGCTCTAGTCGAGTTCGCCTATAACAACAGTTATCAGGCGAGTATTGGCATGCCTCCATACGAGGCATTGTATGGGAGGAAGTGCAGGACACCGTTATGTTGGGACGAGGTTGGCGAGGCCAAGCTCGAGGGGATTGAACTTGTTGAAATCACCAAGACTAAAGTGAAAGTCATTCAGGATAGACTCAAGACTGCCCAAGATCGGCAGAAGAGCTATGCCGACAAACGACGCAGGCCATTGGAGTTCGAGGTCGGTGATAAGGTCTTCCTAAGAATTTCTCCTTGGAAGGGTATCATCCGATTTATATCGAGGGGAAAACTCAACCCCCGATACATTGGTCCGTTTGAAATCCTTGAAAGGATTGGGGCGGTGGCTTACCGTCTCAAGCTGACGCCGGAACTTGAGAAGATACACGACGTGTTTCATGTATCGATGCTCAAGAAATACGTGAGAGATCCATCTCATATTCTTGAGAAGCCACCGGTGGAGATACGTGAAGATCTACAATATGCAGTGGAACCGGTAAAGGTTGTGGGTCAACAGGTGAAGAAATTGAGGAACAAGGAGATTCCTATGGTAAAAGTCCTTTGGAGGAGTGATCGGGTCGAGGAAGAAACATGGGAGACTGAGGTCTCAATGAGAGAGCAATACCCTTTCCTCTTCGGTTAGACACGTGGATTTCGGGGACGAAATCCCAAATAAGGGGGGGTGAACTTGTAACACCGTCCCCAAATGTATTTACTTTTAAAGTGAATATTGTATTTTAACCTTATGGAATGGTTAATGAGTATACGAAGTTGTGAATTGTTAATACTTCTTTTGCGTGAATAGTAAATTCGCACGCGAGACCCACACTGGGAGCGGGACCGCCCGATGTTTTCGGGACCGTACATTTTATTCAACTTGGTCGAAATAATATTCATATAGAGGGGAATAATTTATTTGGTCCAAAGCAATGACATAATGTGGACCGATTGGCCAAAAGCGGCTCAAATACCGGTATTGGTAATTTAACCGATAAAAGCCCGAAATTTGGATTTCGGAGACCTATAAATTAAAGCTGGGAAATGGATATTCATTTTAAGGGTCATAATGATTGGGAACATGTAATATATCTTATTTGACCCGATAAAATAAAATATATTTAAAACTGTCCGAAAAATACAACTTTCGGGACAAAGTGTACACTTCGGGACAAAAAGGGTTGACCTCCCACATGGGTGGGGGCCAACCCACGAATTTAGCCACATTTTTCAAGGCATGGGTCGGCTGATATGAGAGGGAGGTGGGAGAGAGAGCTGATTTGAGATGTTTGGCATCAAAACAAATCATGGTGGCCCTCATTTCCTTCACTCATTGCTCAATTGAGACAAATGAGCATTCCTACTCCTCCCCCTCCTCACTCATTCGGCCAACACTAAGGAAGAGGAGGAAAGAAGCTCTGCAACTTCATCTTTCATAGCCAAACTCAAGCCAAGCTCAAACAAGAAAGTTGATAGGAAGTTAAAGAAGGAAAAAACTAGCTAAAGGTGTGAAAGTTAAGGTAATGACCCTATCATAACTTCTCCTTTATTTTTCCCTTCTATCATATGAGATAAATATCATATGGAACACCCTTGAGGTTGTTCTACATGCTAAGGGTGTAGAATAATGGGTTGGAGAGTGGTTCTATGTCCAAAAACGGACATAGAGGCCAAACCGACAAGTTCACCGGAAAATACCCTTTTAAGGGTTATGTGTATTGATTAAGGTTTTATGATGTTAAAACCTTGTTAGGAACTTGATTTAGAGTATCTTTGAGCTTCGCCGGAGTTTCGCCGGAGTTGGTCAAAGTTGGCCGGAGTTGGTCAAAGTTCACCGGAAATAGTCAAAGTTCAACCGCGGAGCGTAGAACACGCTTAAGCTCACTTAAGGTGAGGATGACCGACTATATTGCTTATAATTATTGGGTTAATTTCATAAGATTACCTAAATGAATTACATGTGTTTGGCATGATTTATTTATAATATAAAAAAATGCCTAAATGAGATTATTATTGTTTATAAGTAAAAGTGCATAATATACAAATTTATGAATAAATTGTGTATGATTATGTATTATGAATACAATGGTATAATAGTGTGTAACTATAAAGGAATTGTGATAAATATACTTTTACCTCATGTAAGGAAGTCATGGAAGGATAAAAGTGATATTTTGATATTAGAACCAAGTTATACTTGAATGTGGAATTAAATTGAAATAGCCAATTTACTATGAAATTGCATTGGCTTATTAAGGTTAAATGACTAGTATAGAAATACTAGCCGGGAATGTTAGCATGAAAAGTGATAGAACAAATCCTAGGGGTTTGGATTGTGAAAGATGTACCTTAAGTAGTCATACGAAATGTCTTAAGGTAGAAATGAGTAAACGCTAAATTACCGTAGGAGTGGACCTTAAAGGTTACTCATAGTAGAGGAACTCTAGGCATAGAGTTTGCTTAGTGAATTAGTATCGTGACTAGAGGAAGCCTCGAGCATGATGAAGAATGACTGGAGGAAGCCTCCAGCATTCGTGTAGGATGACTAGAGGAAGCCTCTAGCGTAACGTAATGTGACTGGAGGAAGCCTCCAGCACAACGTATGTAAGGTGATTAGAGGAAGCCTCTAACACCAAGTGGAGTGACTAGAGTCAGCCTCTAGCACGACAAAACATGACTAGAGGAAGCCTCTAGCATGGTAAACTAATATAGATGGGTGTGGCTTGAAGTCACGGGGAAAGGGTTAAATGTTTCCAAAGTAAACATGGGCCTTCGGGCGATTACTTGACTATATATATAAAGTAAGTATACTTTCAAAAGAGGGTAACCACGGGTTATGACCTATAATATAATAACATCCTAGATTGAGGGTCTTGGAAATTGAAACTTTGATTATACTTAGTATAGTTGTCATTGTACTTGTCAAATGCTTCCAAGTACTGACCTCCCCTTCACGGGGGAGGCCACCTCACAGTTTCAGGTAGAACTTGAAGGGTGCTACCATCACCGTTGCTTCGGGCGGATTATCAAGGAGAGGAGACGTGGTTCGTGCTTCCTCCGTTTCTGTTTTAAAACATTCAAATTAATGCTCATGGATACTATTTTCCGAATAATTATTTAGGGCTTGCACGCCCGTGTTTGCCACGTGTGGCTCGAATGCTTGTATTAATATTTCCGCTGCTTAATTAAATGATTTACATTGTGATTGTTTATGGATGTACTAATGTGAATGGTATTCAAGACGCCTTGTATAGTATGGATGAGTTGGACTGCGGTTGACTATTCGTACTGTACGGCGGGTTGTTGACGTGTCCGGGAAGGTCCGGGGCGTGACACCAAGTAAGGAATTGGCCCGTGGATGGACAATCAACAAGATTAGTTTGCAATTTAAAATCATTTAGATGTTGCATATGATAGGCCGAGGGAGGGGAAGTGTAACACCACTTGTAACACCCCGGCCTCACAGGACCCGAGGTAGTTACTCCGGACCAATAGTACTGTCCTCACAAACCACCACGAGCCTTTACCGCGCACTTTGTCCTCACTCGTGCGCGCCCTGAGAAACTTCCCAGGGGGTCACCCATCCCAAGACTACTCCCGTGCAAGCACGCTTAACTTGGGAGTTCTTGGGTGATGAGCTCCCTTAAAAGGAGATGCACCTCTGTTGGTATGAGTAGTACTATTAATCCATTTATATTAAATCTCAAGTGTTACAATCACCCCCACTTAGGATCGCAACGTCCTCGTTGCGCCCTTAAACAAATCTCAATCACACCCCAGAATCTTCCCCCCTGCTAAGTGCCCGCCCGATATCCAACGGATCAACACACTGTCGCAGGGTTGCTCTGATACCACTTGTAACACCCCGGCCTCACAGGACCCGAGGTAGTTACTCCGGACCAATAGTACTGTCCTCACAAACCACCACGAGCCTTTACCGCGCACTTTGTCCTCACTCGTGCGCGCCCTGAGAAACTTCCCAGGGGGTCACCCATCCCAAGACTACTCCCGTGCAAGCACGCTTAACTTGGGAGTTCTTGGGTGATGAGCTCCCTTAAAAGGAGATGCACCTCTGTTGGTATGAGTAGTACTATTAATCCATTTATATTAAATCTCAAGTGTTACAGGAAGGACCCACCCTCTCATTCGGGCTTCCAACACAATTAAAGTCTCCCATTACTAGCCACGGGCTATTAATGTTAGGCTCCAAGTTTGCTAGATGATCCCAAAGGGCCTTTCTCTCAAGAGCCGTGTAGAGAGCATACACAAAAGTAACAAGATACTCAATTTGAGTAACCTTACAAGTGGCGGTAAGGTGTACATGTTGCTTGTCAATTTCAAGTACATTAATATGAACAAAATGTGGGTCCCAAATGATGCCAATACGGCCACCATCAATTTTGTCAAAATTAGTAATAGATAGCCAAGAAGGTAATCTATTTGAACTAAAATTAACAAAATTAGTAGTGGTCATTTTGGTTTCAAGGAGACAACACAAATGAATATTATTAGTGCGAATAAACTTAAGGATAGAGTTTTGTTTGGAGACCTTATTGAGGCCTCTTATATTCCATGCGGACACAATCATCAAGACCTTTTGTTGTTGTTCCTCCTCCCCCCTTTCTTTCCTTGGACTCTCGGCCTAGCCTCATTTTTTTTCAACAAATGGCTCGGCTTTGCTCTTTCTTTGTACCTAGTAAGATATAATAAAGTATAGGGATATTCAATAAACCAAGAGTTAAATTCATACCCATAATCCGTAGCAAAGACCCCCGGGATAGTCTCCAAGCATGTAGTCGTGAATGTGAGTCCCTCGGTAAGCTCATCTTGGGTGGCTCTCAAGTAGTTGTCAAGCCTCACCATTTGATCCTTAACTTCACCGGAATGTAGTAGGTGGATCAAGGGGAGATTATCTTTGCCAAGTTCAAGCTTAACAATGACATCATCTCGGTATGCATCCCTAATATCATTCACCACACGTACTTTGTTGAAATCTTTCATACTTGGCCTTTTTACAAACGAAGCTTTCCCCCTCGGGCAGCCATCTTCATAATATCGGCACAAATAATGTCTAAAAACAGCCCTCATAAAAGAAGGATCAAAAGTATACTCCTTGTCTCTTATTGTTATTCCGGGAAGATCTTCAAGGCATTCTTTGGTGAAAAGCATTCCGGGTTGGTCTTCCTTTACTATGTTGAGATGATGGTCCATCTTGATAATAGTAGCATCCTTATCTACATGCTTCTTGTGTGTAACATTGATATTTGGCATGAGCACCTCATCGGTTCCCATTTGAACTATCACCTCGTCTTGGTACGTATCATGAAATTTGTGGACTTTCCGGATAAGTTCATCTTCACCATCCTTGAAATCGGATGTGACAACCTCACCTCTTATAGGCTTTCTCTTTCCCCATTTAAAGAGCCGAAACTTCTTGAAAAATGGATGATCTCTTTTAGTAATAAAGAGATCACTTTCCTCCTCAATAAGTAGCTCTTTACTCACTGTTTTGGCATCCAAATTCACTGTTTTGGCAGCCACGTTACTGCTCTCGGCCTCTCCTTCAACCACATCCTTCGTACTCACTGTTTTGGCATCACAAATTGCACCCTCGGCAGCCCCTTCCTCCATATTAATACCCATGCTTTTTTTGATAACATCTTCTTTAGCTTTTTTCTCAATTTCGGCAATAATGGAGCAAGTAAAGGCATGGTGGCCAAACTTTTTACAATGGAAACAATAATTTGGGAATGTTTCATACCTCACAAATTGAGTGTGTAGTTTGCCATTTGGTAACTTGATCTTGAGCTCAAGTGGAGGTGGTTTAGATGCATCAATTTCAATTAGAACTCTTGCAAAGTTAGATCTAGCCTTTTCAAGAGTAACTCTATCCGTAGTCAACGGTAATCCCACCTTAGATGCCACCTCACTAATAACATCTTCATTCCAAATCCGCATAGGTAGATGGGGGAATTGCACCCAAATAGGAACCTTGAGAAATTCCTCATCACTCATAGAAAAATCATCCGATAACAATTTTAATGGAAATCTTTTCCCAAATAAAGTGTATGGACCTTCCATAAGCACTTTAGCCCTATCCTTGTCATTTTGGAACTTAAAGATGACCCAACCTTTATCATGACTTCTAAAACGGCACGGGACAGCCCATTTTTGCACAATGGTTTGGAGATTTTTATACCCGGGATAGCCACCATCAAAGTAACCAACAAGACAATGTCCCCAAATATCAATCATGGATGGTAGCACACGAGAGGTGAGGTCAATGATGTCTCCTTTGGGCTCAATATACCTTAGTTTCATACCCTTATCGGGTTCCCTATTATCCTTGAAGAGTGAAACAAACGAGGGTTTAGAACCAGGTTTCCCCCATTTGTTTTCTCCCAAAACCGCAACCTCACTGGTAGAAGTTAATACTAGTGCCGTGGGCTGGCTGGGTAATGCCGCGGTATGATTAGGTAATGCCGTGGGCTGGCTTGGTGATGCCGCGGCCTGAGTATGTAATGCCGCGGACAGAGAGGTTAAAGCCGCGGCCTTATCGGCAGTTTGTGTCCCGGGCTGAAAGTCATGTGCCGCGGCCTGAATATGCAATGCCGCGGGCTGGAAGGGTAAAGGCGCAGCATGACTAGGTGATGCCTCGGGTAAGGTGGCAGCAGGTATGCTGGGTACAATTTTACCAGCCTTGGATTTTTCTCTTTCCAACATCTCTTTAACACTTGGGTCCAGGTCATATTCCACATTTGCATTCATCTCAAAGTCAAGAGAGGTTTCATCAAGAGTTGATACAGTAAGAATACCTTCGGACAAGTCTACATTAGCGTCCAAGGTGACACTTTGGATATCAGTTTCCTCCAGAGATGTAGCACTATCAACAAGAATGCCCTCCAGACTAGTATCCATGGACTGGCTACTTTCCTCCTGGGACACCTCCATAATTGGTTCCAGGGATACAAAAGACTTTTGGGAAGAGTTGAGAGTCACCAAAGTGTGACACCTCGAAAAATTTAATAAAGAGAATTTAATATAAACATGTGATAACTGTTAATTGTATTTGTGGGCAATTTTCTTAACTTATGCTTCGGGAAGAAGCATCTTTTAAGGAGGGTAGATTGTGACACTCCAAAAAATTGAAATAAAATAAATAATTTTACTAGTCAGATAAAAGGTTACGAAAGTGACATTTTTAAGTGGATCAGATAAAATTTTAACATCAATAACATTTTGAATCAGATGAAAATGTTTCAATAATAAAAGTGACGATTTTATAATAACTATGTAATCAAGGAAGATCTTGACTTGAATAACAAAAGTGGCATTTCGTAACAAGTGAAAATAATACCTATGACATAAATATTAAAAGTGACATCTTAACCATTTTAATTAGTTAAAATATTACGAAATACGCAAGATGTCTTTATGACACGCAATAATAATAGCGATGATGATGTTGATGATGATCGATGATGATGATGTTAAAGAGAGATTGATTTTTCCAACCTATGAGTTTCACACTCGTGAATACGAAGTAGTAATAAGCAAACATTGCATATACTCTCACCATTATGTGTTCACACACGTGAACTCCATGTACACACTAAAACTTACACTTAAAATTTCAAACGATGCGTACCTAATGCCAATACATGCACCTACGCCAATCAATAATTTACCACGCAATAATAGACATACCAATAATAGATATAACTATTACATGCATGGGCATCACCCTGCGAGACTAACGACCAACAAACGCACATGTGTACGTCGGAACTGATAAGATAAACCAGCAAAACAATCTTCATCGACGTACAAGCTAGAAGCAACGAAGCCTTCAGATTGGACCTATAAATACCTGAACTGCATATTGAATATCTCCACACCTCAAGCAACGCCTATACTTACGTCACACTCTCATAGTCATATACACGTATATATATACTCATCATACTACGTATAATATACTATCCTCGCTGCGGCAAATCTACCTACCCAAAACCAAGAGCCAAAAACCATACTAAAACTTCGGTGAGTAAGAGAGGGAGGGGAAGAGAGTGACGGAAGTATAAACGATCATCAGAAGAGGGAGGAATAGCTCACCGGAGTAACCACCGGACTGATTTCCACGATTGACGAAGTAGCTGCTGCTGCCACCAGACCACCGCTCTGCAACTAGGTCGAACTGAGACG